AGTTACCTTTCCAAGGGAGGTACCAGCAGACCACATGGGTGTACCCAGTCAGAAGAGAGAGACCTGCTTTCTGTTTTGTTGGAATCTATTAAATGTGTCTCCTAAAAACTGACTCGGGAAACAGCCTTTAATATGAAGGCAAGCCTCAAGGATTGCATCTTCCATTTCGCTGATCAGATGTCTAGAACTGTATTATGGTTACTAACATGGCACTGGATTAAAATGGAATTATCTGCCCCTTAACTAAATTGTGAAATGTCGACACGGGACATGTGTCACATGACACAAAGAATGCCTGTGTCCAACCAGCACCTCATCCCAGTTAAGTTCCAGTACACGCTAAGCTGTCCACCAACACTGCGTTCATGGCTTTAGTTGTGTTGTTTGGATGGTTATTTCCCCATTGTGTTTGGCTTGTTGCATACGTTAGTCTTCATTTTAAAAATGACTTCACAAGATAGATATTTTGAGCATGTCATAGGTACTGTGATCGGTAGTGGCCCAGTTGTCCTGGTAGCTGGCACCTGTCTGAGCAGCTATTTGGAACCGTTTGACTGTAAATCAACTTGGTCCTCCTCAACCCTTTGTCAGTCATTGTTACTGAAATGCTTTCAGTAGGAAGAAACTAGAGAGGAAAAGGAAGAAGGGAGGGAGGGAGAGATCCTGGATTGTGGGATGGACATGTTGTGGTCAACAGGACACTTGTGCAAAGCCTTCTCATTGTCTTTGCCTTGTGTCCCTTACCTGTCTACAGACAGGAATGGATCTTCAAAGTTACCTCCCCCACTTTGTCTTGCCAGCCAGGGTTTGGGGGGCTTTCACTTTCTGCAAGCTGGATCACAATCGGCAATTTTGTTTTCCCTAAAATAAACTTTAGTGATTATCATGTTTTGTTGTACCAGGTATTGGCTTTCAGTTGCCACATCCCTCCTACTCTGAGCTGGCAGTGACTGGCCCGGAGAAGCAATGGACCCTTTTGAGGTTTGCAGATGACGGTCATGATGATCACTTCCATTCTGATATTTGCCTGACTCACAGGCTTTGAGGTTGTTGGCTTTAAAATGCTAAAACCAGTGTTGCCCCGGGCACTAGCATAGCAGGCAATAGGTGTTCCCAGAATCCCGGACATTTATTATCTACTGTGTACCTTCTTCAGTAGGATTTCTCAGTATGTGTGTAATGGGAATTGGCGTTTTTAATAAAGGAGATCGGTGCTCAGCTTTTCCCAGCGTGCTTCCTCTGGAGCCCTTCATCCTGGGAACTTGGCAGGGAGGACTACTCTGAAGAACTTGCTTCAGGATGTCATGACCTGCCCACTTCACCTGTCTGCCACAGACAGCCCTGACCCTCCACCTTGAGACTCAATAGAAGCTGGGGAGTTCAGCTGCTATTTCAGAAAGACATATGATACACCTTGTCAGAAGCAAGTTGTGACGAGCTTGTCAGGGTGTCCCTGTGCCTGCCACCTCACAGTCACCAACACAGGAACTGCCCAAGTGAGGGATTTTTCCCGTATACTTCCCAATGTGTGCACTCAAGACCACCGCAGTCCTCAAAACTTTGCAAGCACAGTGGAGGGGCTGATTTAAGGTTGTTATCGGTGTCTTTCAAGATGTCAAAAGTTTGGGGGTAGGATGGCTCAGATGTGTTTTTTAGCCTCTGGGATGTCTGTCACATGACTTTATGGTTTCTGTAGAGAAAAGCAGTGATATAACCCCAGGATGGGTGCAACAGCGGCCTCAGAGGCCATCCCTTCTGTCCTCAGGGGAGCCCAATGCCATGTGATCCCCCACTGTCCTGCTGAAGTATACTCTGTAGACTGCTATGTCCCTTCTGCCCCCAGAGAGGACTGAGCTAAGAGTGAACGAGAACAGCAGGAAGCATTCCAGAGAAAATGAACATTATCAGCGAGGCTGCTCCAAGAGTTTCTCTTGATAGGGACTTGATCGTCAGTGCAGGGTGCTGACAGCCCAGGGAGTGTGAAGAAAAAACTCCTTGACAGGGTGACTGATTTGAAGTCAAGGATGTTTAACTTGGTGTTAAAGAGATTCCAGAGATGTCTGGCTTATTAGAAACAATATGTTAACCATGATGAATAGGGGGAAAAATTAAGTTGGTATTTGTTCCTGTAAAAGCCTAGCTAGGGAGATCTGGGTGCCTCTGCGTGACGCAACCTCATGATGAAGCCTAATGGGAGACTCTCAGTGTCCCTGACTTCATGGGGTCTGACAGTCAGGGTTTCTGAGTCCTCCCTGAGGGTGGCGACTAGGCTCTGTGTGGAAGCGAAGGTGGAGGTGAGAGGTCGGAGGGTAGTGCTGCAGAGGTGAAAAACTGAGGCTCTGGAGCCCAGGACAGGCCCAGACAGGTGCCTGGCAAGTGAGCAAGGTGGCCAGGACTTCCTCCCAAGGGCCGGCTTTCTTGGGTGAAGTGTGGCAGTTTCCTTGCTTGTTATTGGGTTTTTCTGTCATTAACAAAACTTCTTGTTTCTGTTGGCATCCAGAAATGGCTTCAGACATCCCTGGATCTGTGACCTTGCCTGTTGCCCCCATGGCGGCCGCCGGACAGGTGAGGATGGCGGGAGCCATGCCTGCCCGAGGAGGAAAGCGGCGATCCGGGTAAGCAGACCCAGCGCTTCCAGGAACTGGCCTTAGTGAAAGTTGAGCAATGCTCTTGACCTGATAGAAAAGTATTGCTCCCCCCCCCCCGCCCCCCGCTAGAGAGTAAAAGCTCAGCAGTTTGCATCCTGCTTAGATTTTGCAAGCGTCCTAACTATGCACATGATTCGCTTCTACGTGTTCTGGGTCCTGGCACCCAGCTGGGGATTTCTGTTTGCCTGTCCTGTGGGGTCCTACTGGGCCCGGCTCTCAGAAGGGAGGAGTTCAGTCTCAACTGCCAGAACATTCCAGCCTCATTTGGCAGCACCAGCCCCAGGAACTGTAAATGATTTAATGGGGCCCTCGAAACTTTTTCCCTCCGATGCTCATCTTTCCTAGGAATATGCAGGAATTCCTTTGGCAAGGAGTCGGCACCTGAATGCCAGCCAGATAAGTTGAATATTGCTCAGACAATAAAGAGAATAAGTATTAAGTTCTGTTGACTAGACTGGTTCTGCTAGGTCACAGACTACTTTGGAGCAGATGAAACCAAAACCGGCACCTACTTGTGCTGAATGATATTAGCGTCTGTACCCAGATCCCAAATCAAATCAACCAAAGGAAAAACATTAACTGGTATTTTCCAGCTCAGTGTATTACTCAACCCAGTTCCCCATTGATCCTTTTTTTTAATTTCAGTTTAATAATTAATAAATGAGCTGCCTCATGATGTTGCTTCCCTTTCTGGTCACACACTCCGCCCATGATTGTACCTATTTGGTGAGAATAGAACACAGAACAGAACCTTCCATAGCCCTAAGACTGCAGCCTGGACGCATGTTGAAATGGTCCAGCATTTTAATCTCAAGAGCCTCTTCCAAACCCTGTGATGCTTAAAAAAAAAAAAAAAAAAGCACAGAGGCAAGAGGACAGGTGCACACCAGGGTCTGGGGTGGAGTGGGGACAGGATGAGACACCATGGTGTTATAATGCCAGCTAACGAGAAGGACCGCTGTGTGTGCTGGGGTCTTTGGGAAAGGGCATGGGAGGTGCATGGTCACTGTGAGGGTTCACAGAGGGCTGAGAATCTGCGCATGGTGGCAAGGCCAGCCTGGATCCTGCACATTCTCTCAGACAGTCCGTGTTCTGTCTGCTGCTGCTGGGTCTCCTCAGTGGGCACCACCTGATCAAGGCTGCAGCTTGCCTCTGGGGCTTCACGTGCAGCTGCCTGCTCTCTGAGCCGCCTTGCTAACTGTGGACTGAGTTCTGCCATATGGCTTGATAAAAGAATGTATATGGTGTTAAAATATTAATTTTTCAATAAAAATTCCAGATTACTTCCAATGTTACTATCTTAACTCACATTCTTTAGAGAGAAGCTCCATTGTTCCTTCTCGTCTTTTTCCAGAAGAGACCAGAGTGTGCCCTGCAAACTCTAGGTTGGTCCAAGTCTAAGCAAACATGCTTTGTCCCACCCCATGCTGAAGACCCACAGGCCCTCCCCCTTGTGCTGGGGGTTCAGGGAGCCTCTGTCTCCTCATGGTGTGGGCTGGTGTGCATCCCCAGCAGCTTTCCGCCTTGGCCTGCAGGGTCCTAACGCAGTCCTGGAGAACAGAGCCTGCTTTCTGCATTGCACTAGGGATGATGACAAGCCTGGAATTCCTACGGCTGTCCTGTGTCCTGTGTCGCCGCACAGGCCGTTTCCCTTCCTTCTCTGTTGCTTCCTCATGGAAGGATGGCTTTATTTGAGGGCCAAGAGTCCATCACCACCACAGTGGGAAAGCCTGGCGGCAGGTAGGCTTTGCAGCTAGAGCAGCTGAGAGCCCACATCTGAAACCACAACCACGAAGCGAGAGCGTGAACCCGGAATGCCGTGTGGCCTTTGAAACCTCAGTGACACATGGCCAGACCTCCTAAGCTTCGGCCAAGAGGATCAGCAACCGGGGACCAAGTATTCAGATGTGGGAGACTGTGGGAGACATTGACATTTCATACACACACACACACTATGGCCCCAGAAGCTAGTGTGGTCCTGAATAGGCAGACACTTAGGCTTGGGTTCCATTTCACGTACAGCCCAGGAAGCAACCTATCGAAGGAAGCAGAGACGAAGTTAGGTGGGCAGTGGCCTCCGACATCCTGCTCAAAGACCCCCACAGTGTGGGGAGACTCTCACTCAAGTCTCGGGATAACACGACCCCCCCCCCCCCGTAACCGTCCTTGCTACAATCACACGAAGTTTAATCGGTGAGATGAGACAGGAACCAATGCACTGGGGGGGGGGGCTCATAACCCACGCAGGGGAAGAGTTCGACCCCAAGTAATCCGAGAAAGGTTTTTAAGGGAAGGAACCACAGCCCAGTAATCCAAAGGGGTAGGGAGGGCATCATAGAAAATTCCAAAAATACCAGTGATGATCACCAGGGGGCAACTCCCTGCCTCTCAAGATCACTCTCCAGGTCATAATCAGCTAGTTCCTGAAACACAGTATTCCAAAGATATCAGTGATAATCACAAGGGGGAAACTCCCTATTTCTCAAGATTATTCTCAAGATTACAATCTAACTTTCTCTTTAGCTAGTTACTGAAACACAGCCACTGAACCAGCTAATCCTAGATTTCTGATTCTTCTCTTCCTGCTTAGATTTTTGGCTCTATTTTTTCCTGCTAGGGGGGTGTGGATTTATCCAGGTCTTTCACTGCCATAAGATGAAGCTGGGGCTCTCTGAGGGCAGACCAAGGAACTGGACCTTCACCAGGAAGCCCGGGGTCTGTATGCTCCTTGTCCTTTTCTCTTGTCAGGTGGTGGGCATAACGCCCCATGACTTAGAGATTCGCCCTACTCTAAGAAGGTTTTCCGTAGTCATTCTTACATCTTGCGTTTTTAAAATTTTCTTCACCTAATAACGACCCCTTCCATTGTGAGACGCCGGCGGAGGCTGTGTGCATCAACAGGCAGATGCTCCATCTGGGTCTTGTGCTGTGGCTCGCACTGACTATTGTCTGCCGTCACTGTCAGCAGTGTGGTGTCTCCAACTGCTCCTTCTGTTAAGATCGTGGGACACCCCTGAAGAGACTCAAGAGAGGGAAATGGAAGAGGATGGAGTGTGTCAGGAGGGAAAATACTTTGTCCCATTCCTTTCCAAGTCCTTGCTCTCCCACCCGACGGTCATGCTCCTGGAGGTTAGTGTGCCAAGTGCTGGGGACAGCTGTGCACAGCTCTCTCTCAGGCTGCATTGCCTCTTAGAGCTGACCCCTTGAGGACTTTGGCTCTTCCTGGATGTGTGCCTGGTGCTGTGGTGGGAGTCCTCCCTGGCTGTTCTTTCTTCCCACGTCACTAACAGGCTTAGCAGTGAGAGTCTCCGCAGGGCACTGGCCTCTGCCTGGCAGCTAGGTAAAGGAAGGTTCAGAGGTTTCAGATTCTTTCCAAAGTAGATCCACGTGTGTGAGAGAAATGAGTTGAAGCAAGTCACCTGACACACATTCTTGTCAAGACCTCCCTAAACTCAGCAAGGGGTAAGGGAGGCTCCCTCCGGGCAAACTCGGTACTTTCAACCTCAGGGAGGAAGTGGCAGTGATGAGTTAAGTGATAAACTGAGCCTTCTCCAAAGCTACCCACTGGGATGAAGGGAGGGTGGGGGCTGCAGGCAGGGATGGGCAGGAATGTAGCCGCTCCTGCCACTGCTTGGCAGACCAGCACTCCTTAGATAGAGGCGGGAGGGTGGCGGGCTCCAGAGTTTAGAACCAGCCTGGGCTACATAGTGAGACACACACACACACACTTAAAACTTAAAGGAAAAAAAAGAATGGAGAGAGAAGGAGGACACACACACACACAGAGGTTGATGTTTGAATGTGTAGTTAGGCTGTAAGGGAGCCAGAAGGGAGAACATTTTCAGACACACTGTCACTCTGCTGTGTTCTGGGGACCCATGGCCAGGCCCAGGATTGTTAATGGTAGCCACTATTTGACCAGCCACACTAGAATGACCTTCCTCCTCGTCCGCTATAGCAGAAGCACATGCTGTGCGAAAGCTCACGTTTGATGCTGCACCGTTATCCTTAGAAAGCATTGCTAGCGAGAGCCTCATTGCCTCCCTTTCCCAACAAGTTATGCTCAGAAATGCCCATCCACGCTTCTTATCCTGGCTCACTGGTAGGGAAGGAAGCGGGGTCAAGTAAGTGTGTTTTTGCTCACCCTTTGAAGACTGGGATCACCCATCCACCATGCTGTGTGTTTCAGAGTGAATCCAAGCAGGCTTAAAGTCGTATTTTGATTTCTTTTATTATCCAGATGTTCCAGAATAATAGCGAAACATAAAAGACATAAAAGAAAGGATGATTTACTTCCCCTTTTGATAGCAGAAGAAGTAGGCGCAGCTTCTTGCAGTCATATTTAAAGTTGGACATGGTGGCAGAGACCCGAAGGTGCTCCTGGGGGCAAGTGTTGTTTGAGGTCTTTTGTTTAGTCAGGAGCAGTGGGGTGTGTGTGTGTGTGTGTGTGTGTGTGTGTGTGTGTGTGTGTGTGTGTTCCTGAGAGGCTAGTGAGACTGTGTGGAATGAATGATCCTGAAGATCTCAGCAATCATGCGGGGTCCTGATTTATTTCCTGGGCTGGGCCCACTTTATGCTTTTCCAAATTACTAAGCATGATCTGCCGAGTGTGAGTCCATGCATGCACAAGTGGCAGGTGCAGTTTCTTTCCCTGCTGCAGCATGTCATTGCATGCACACTCACAGGTGGTGGGTGCAGTTTCTCTCCCTGCTGCATGTATGTGATCACACATGTGCACAGATGAGAGCCATAATTTCTTGGTCTTATTTTTTTTATATACAAATCATGACTCCAAGTTCCCAATGGTCCAAACCAGGCTTTTTTCTTCTACCCTCTGCTCTCCTGATCTGCAGCTCACCCGGCCAAGCTGTGGCCCTTTACTTCCCTGTTTATCTGCTCCATAGGGGATTGGGCTGTTTATCTGCTACATCGGGGATTTGTTGCTATCAGTTGAGACTGTTTCAGCACTGAAGCCGTGGATCCCAAGAATGCCCTGTCCTTGGTCACCCCAAACATCTCATTGGTCTTTAGGCTCTGAGTGAGGGCTGGTTAGTCAACTGCACTTTGTGGGAGTGTGATGATCACAGTCTTATCAAAGTACCTTGAGACGGCTCAGTGGGACACAGGCACTTGCTTCCAAGCCTGATGACTTAAGTTAGATGAGCGGATTCACGTGGTAGAAGGAAGGAGTCTTCCACCTCCATATGGAAGCCCAAGAGTACAAGTGCAAACACACACACACACTGTTATAGGAGCTTTGATATCAGATTGAACGGAAAAGAATTTTAAAGAGAACTTATGCATCTCACACCCATTTGATAAATATTTGCACAATTCTTCGGAATATATGGTGGGTTTGTTTTATGTAGGCAAAGAACTTGATCTTTCGCTTTATGAGCACTAGGTGGCAGTGTGGTTCTGCAAAATTCAACCGGCCTCAGTTTGGTGGTTATTTCCACATACGGAATTTCCAGGAAGGTGAGAAGATAGCTCAGTAATTATACAGGGCACTAATGAGTTTTCTTCGTTTGGAATCCCATATTCAGCTCCATTTGTCCTATACACAGCTCTGCAGTCCAGTGCTGGACTTCCGGAATGATGGCTGTGGGGACCTTGAATGTCTGTGTCCCTGGTGGCATGTGTGTGGTCCTTTTTGACCATCTCCTTTTCTCTCTGTACAGAGGCATTTTTGTGATCACAATTGCCATTCCTTCCATCTCTTATTCTTAGTGTTAGGACAACTGGCTTTTGAAGACTAAAGATCCCATCAGGCAATGCTGGGCAAAATCACGTCAGCTCAGACTGCACCGTACATAATCCAGGACAAAGACGTGCAAAAGCTGCCTTGTCGTCCGAACCTCTCTCCCTTCATTTTGCCATATCTGACCATAGTTCCTAGGTCCCCCAAGTGGTTGCAAAGGCTAGAGGTCACCATACATCTTACTGGGGCCCGTCTTGGGGTTTACGTTCAAGGATGGCTCTTCATGTGTAACGTGACTGCTTTCTGGTGACCTAGGTGCCCTGTACCTTCCCTGGGTCACCTATTACACAGACTAGGGAATGAGAGTCACCTCCCCTGCGAGAAGCAGAAGCTCCGATTATCTATAACTGTGGTCTTCTGGCACACCCTCCACTCTGTTTATTGTTTGAACAGAATCTCACTGTGTCTCCCAGCACACTCCATTCTCATAATAAGCTGCTAAAACATGAGATTCCTCAGACATAGCTGCAACTACCCTCCCTTCTGCTTGGGTCATGAGGGTAGGCCTCACCGAGTCCTTCAGACAGACTGAACAAGCAGGACACTTCAGGACCCGAGATGCCATATCAAGACCACATTTACTATAGGTGTCTCATTTTCTTCCTCAAAAACTGAGTACTCTGATCATAGTTAAGTTCCCTCTCTGCCCTAACATCTTCCAGCCTACTATTTGCTGACGTGAGAGTATTACGGGTTTTTGAGAAGGAGCGTTTGGTATGTTAGTTAAGCACGAATTCCCCCCTACCTTGTCTGATGTTTACAAGGGGAGGCCCAGTAAAGAAGAGGTCTGAAGAATAATTCAGTGAGCAGATGGCCACTTGCTTGAGTGATTTTGATATCAAATGGCCATTTCCTTCTCCACAGCCTCCTATTTGGGGTCCTGGGTGTGACAGAATGATTGTCTGGGATGACTTTTGCCCTGAGGTTCATGGAGATTCACCAAGTCACAAGCAGTATTCCCAGACAAGGTCACTGGATTTCTTCATCACTCTTTGGACTTCCTGGATTCTGAGTCCCTTGAGTAATATACCATGCATTTTAGAAATGAAGTGTTTATGTGGAATACATGATGTGGAGGGGACCATGTGCCCCAGAGATGTTGGGAGACAAGAAACATTGATGTTTTCCCCCAGCGTGGACTGGGCTGTCCTTTGATGATCTGAGAAGTGTTCTAGGGGGAGAGCAGAGTTATCCTCTTAGCACTACCAAATGTCGGAAGCATTGCACAGTGATGTGATGGGGTGAGGGTCCCCCTGCTCCCACAGCTCATGATACTAATTACAGTCTCCTAAAAGTCATAACCACTGCTCACTTGTGACTTTGACCTTTCAGAATGGACTTCGATGATGAAGATGGTGAAGGTCCCAGTAAATTTTCGAGGTGAGTTTACTTTGCCTTTCTTAAGCCAGTAGCTAGCAGTCACGTGACCAGCATATGCATAGGCACTTAGTGCCTCTTGTCATTGAGCAAACCATTGTACTTTGACCATCTTGTGTATGTCTGGCTTAGTGCCAGCATTTGGCCTAGTGGCAGGCAGTTATTAGCAATCCTGATATGCCCCAAGCCTAGCCTGGTGTTCTGTGCTTGAAATCTCAGCACGTGGGAGTATGGGGCAGGTGGAGAGCAAATTCAAGGCAAACCTGAGCTGTCTAGCAAGACCCTGTCTTCAAAAGGCATAGCAAAAGAAGAGGGGGCAGTGATGCCTAGTTCTTAATTCTGTTTTCTTTTACATTTAACAATGGTCACTAACTTTAATGGGCTCCCTGAAACAAACAAGCGAAAAAACATAAGGCTTAAGTTTAGAGAAGATTATCAACCTTCTCTAAAAAGAATCATTTTTTTTTCTAGTAAGGAAAATTAGGAGAAATACAAGGAACGTGTAAAGCCTGTTTGAGGTTGGCTTCAAGATCCTCACACTCAAGCTACGGAGTGTGTGGCAGTGTCTTCAGCTGCTTGTGGGGTGGGCCACCGTCTAGCCCACCTTCAGGGAAAGCTCCCAGGTCACCTGTACTGGGGGTGCAAGGGAGAATCATGAATTCTGATTCTTTCCATCTGTTTCATTTGAGGCGCTGTGGGACACTTGGAAGTACGCGCGCTGAAGGAAGATGTCATTCTCCCATTCTTATACTCCCATCTGTGCCATCTTCTTCCGGCAGGGCTCACCTTGCTGCCCCCCTCACTCCGACCTCCTCCGAGGTTACTGCTGATCATAGAAAACGCGTGGCAGGTGATAGGCGCCCGTCTGTAGTATTCATACTCCACCTTCGGACTGACAGCCGTGGTTGTTTGAAGCAGTTTTGAGGAGTGTGATGTCCACACAGTCCACTGGGCTGGCTCTCTACTTTTCTCCATGCAGATCGTTTGGGTTCTTTTTTTTCTTTACCCATAAACAAAATGGTAGCTGTGGCTTAAACAGTGTTCTCTACCAATGCAGGAGGGACCCCATGCCTCGTTTCTGTAGGGATTCCCAGAATCTTCTAGTCTACAGTAAATATCTCCTCACCCCCATAAACTTTTACCCTTGAGATCAAGCTCATCCATCTATTCCACAGCTTCCTCCTCTTCAACTGAAGCATGAGATTAAATGAGAACACTTTTTTAACCCATTAAATGACCTTCAAGTTTCCTATCAAAACACGTGAGCTTCACCAACAAAACTGGATTATCTCTTCCTGAGTAGACCTACTTTAGATGTCCTGATATCTCAAGTTGTCTTAATTGGAAAGGAGCAAACCTCAGAAAATGTCCCCTTCTCCTCTCTGTCAAATCTTGCCTTGGCCACTCACAACCCTTTCTGTAGACAGAAACAATGACGCTAGCCGGGCGGTGGTGGTGCACGCCTTTAATCCCAGCACGCGGGAGGCAGAGGCAGTCGGATCTCTGTGAGTTCGAGACCAGCCTGGTCTACAAGAGCTAGTTCCAGGACAGACTCCAAAACCACAGAGAAACCCTGTCTCGAAAAAAAAAAAAAAAAAAAAAAAGAAAGAAAGAAAAAAAGAAACAATGACGCCGAGTCCTCTATGTCAAAGTTCCCCCTCAAGACTGCATACCATAGCGTGAACTTCAGGAAATAATGCCTCTGGGTCTCAGGACAAAAAGAGGAAGAGAAACATGGAGTGACATTTGCTTGACATGGGATATCAGTGTCAGTGCTGAAACAGCAGAGGGACACAGAGCTCACTTGGGCCCAAGTGTGAGGCAGCGGCCACCCCATGCTGTGTAACGCGCTGAACCTGCCAGTGAGTCACTTGTTACCCAGTCAGGTTCAGACCTTGGCTTCTCTCAACCACATCCTTTCCTCTGGGCCTTAAAAACAAGAGAGAGATGGAATGTACTTCCAACATGTGCTGTTACTTATGCGGCTGGGTTCATGGGACCCCAGAGGCCACTGACTTAGACAACAGGGCATTTGAAATAATCCATGGCTGATGGGCCTCTGGGTACATCTGAGTCGCTTGGAGTTGGGGAGACAAGCAAGTCCCCTCCCTTCCACTTAACCATCCAGGGGGAAGGTAGATGTTTGCTGCCAGCCTTGGTAAGGTGCACTCTACGACCTCTCTCCCATGTTTGCAGTCAGTCCCCAACTGTCCCAGCAAGCAAGGCCCTGGAAAGCATGGAGACTTTGATGCAAGCCAGTTCCCATCCTTATTAGTTGATTCATCATCTGGGCAGAGGCAGCATCATAATCTCTGTCCCCCAATGGGAGTCTAGTGAGAATTCCCTGCTTTTCTCAAGGAATGGAAGTATGGGGCTTGGCTTCCTTCCCCAATGTAGCCTAAGGAAATAGCCTCCACTTACTAGCACTGGGCTTGACTCCCGTTTCCTCTTAAATTCCATCAACAACTCACAGGGATGAGCTCTCTGCCTCTAGAAGACTCTGATCACACCCCAGAGGAAAACAACCTCCCTAAAGGACACCAGGACCTGGTGCCCTTCATCCCTCAAAGGGTCAGCATCCTGTATTACAAGTGATGCCCCAGCCTTCTCATAACACTGGGAAACACACAAAGGCATCCTTCTTGAATGTCCCAGGCTGTTCCTGTGCTGCGGTTGGCATCAGCTGCCACCAGCAGCAAGTGGCATCTCTGGTATTATTTCAGCGTGTGGACAGCTGACATTCCCAAGCTATCATCAGAAGTCAAGATTACACACCACGGTCACTGTGTGCCTTATACTTGTAGGGCCCGCTTATACTTCCCTGGACCCCTCCCCCCCCATGCCAGGTGAGACAATGAGAGGCACTCAGTCTTAGCCCATGACTCCGTGGCTCCTCTCAATTCTGCCACATCTTGGTTCTGGGGTTGGATTCCCACATGTATTCATTGAGACTTTGGTTTAGGGAGCCCTCTGTGTCACACCATCCCATATGACACCTTTTACTTTTTGGTCACAAAAGAATGACGCAGAGATTGTATCGGCCTCTCCTGGTGGTCAGTGGGAGACTTTACAAAGTGCCTCCCCTTCTGTATGTTAATCAAGTTGGGTGATGGATGTCCCACTGCTCCGAGTGAACTCGAGAGGCCCCCCTGGCAGCAGAGCTGGAGAAGAAACCCAAGTTACCACACACCTAGCAGTACCTGTCTTTGTCCCTGATTTCCTTGCTTGTCCTCTAAGGCAAAGCCCTAGGTCGTCTTGGTCCAGCAGAGGTGTCACCTCCTCCTGCTCTGTCCTCGCGACAGAGCCCTTGACCCTTTCTCTATACATAGAGACAGATTTCCTTACTGCTGCTACCTGGCCCCCATCAATTATGGATGCTCATAGACACCACAGTCCCAGGCATAACAGATTGATCCCATTGTCCCTTTCTCTTGGGGAATAAGATAAACTAGGGTCAGTAGACAGGGCCTTGGGATGTGTCATTCTCTTCTCACAAGGTGGCATTCCCTCACCTCTGCATCCTTGAGGGCTTCAAAATGAAATCATACGCATCAATGCATACACCACTTGTTTCTCGGATCTTGTTGCCTGGCAACCGGCCGTTCTCAGTTCTTTTTGGCATGCTGCTCAGTAGCTCAGGCTTATTTCATAGAACCTAAGGTTGTTGTATCATTCCCTGCATTGGTCAGTGACTGCCGTTTTCAGCTTTTAGATCTTACCTTGTTTATCCTTTACACCTCAGCCCACAAATTGAATTTATCTATGGATCGATCACAGAACCTCACAAAGCCCACTCCCAATGTTTATAGAGAAAATTAGTCCACGGTAATAAGGTCCCATTGGTTGCCACAGACACTAAAAGCTTTAGACTTAACTCTAGGTTTGGGAGCCACCGCTGAGGACTTTAAGCGTCAGACAGAACTGTCAGTCTGGTGACAATCCAAGGTCTGAGATGGCGGGAAAGGAAAGGTGGGAGGAGGCTTCGCCACATGGGGCGGGTGGTGTCAGCCACAGTGGGCAGTGAGCATGGGCATGGGGAGGGGAGGAGAGTCAAGAGGTTTGTGCAGGAGTTTTGGCACAGGTGGACATTCGTGGTGAAGGAGCCCTCGCTCAGCATGGCCCCAAGATAAGTCAGAGTAGGCATAGTGTTCTTATGATTCAGAGAGGTGCTGAGTGGCAGCATCTGTGTTGGAATGGAGAAGGGGATTCAGGGAGAAGTGGATGGGGCTGGCAGGATATCCCAAATCCCGAAGGTCAGACTGAGAGACTCCAGGTCATTCGACTCCAGACAGGGCAGGCAGATTCCCCTTGGATATGGCACCATTTGGAGAGGAAAGCCTGTCTCACTGGAAGATGCAGGCAGGTGCTGTGGAGGGAGGGAGCTCTGGGTCCTGCCTGAGTCATCTTCTCCCATAAGTGCCCGAGCTTCCTGTCTGGCCTCTTCCTTCGTCATCTCTCCAAGTACCACCTTCTCTGGGTGGCCTGGGAAGTGTGAGCTGGCAAGGTAGGAGTATGCGCTCTGGGAGCTCGCCCTGCCTTGGGTCTCGTGAGCAAATGTCCAGCTGAAGAGTGTGGTGTGCACCACGTAACCTGCTCCGTGGCTGTGGAATGAGAGTAGAGGGTTTCTAGTCTCTCTATGGCAAGATTTTGGCCTGTGCTCAAGAGCTAGAAGTCCTTTGACCAAATTCCTGCTTGCATCCCCTTCCTCTGGTTTGTAGGTGTCCCACCCTCAACCTCTTCTTATCTGGTTGACCCTTTCTCCCCTACTTAGCAAACTCTGCCCGTTTCTGCCTGGAGGAGGTAGACTTTCCCGACACGGAGGGTCTTTACCATGCACGTGAGCGTCAGTTCTGGTTTACATCTTTCCAGTTAGTACCCGAGAAGTGGGGTTGACCCCAGGAATCTGCTGACTGGTCTTAACCGGTCTTCCTCCCCTATCCTACAAAGCTCATCCACCTGTGAATCTCTCTAAAACATCAGGGCCTGTTGGCCCATCTTCCGGCTTCTGTTAGATTTCTGTGTTCTGGCCTGTTTCCCAGCCTCCAAGTTCCTCAACTTCCCCTTGCACCAGGCCTGCCCATCCTACAGGAATGGCTCTTCCTTTCTTGATGCATCCTCCCCCATCCTAAGTCTTCCTTTGATCCTCCAGATGGACCCTATCTCCAGAACACTCTTTCCTTTTCCTATTGCCACAGACGTCTATCTCTGCGCACCGCCCCCAGCCTCTTCTAGCCCCCCCCCCCACTTCTGTGTCTTTTTCTCTCCTGCTGTGCACAGTGCACCTTCCAACGCAATGCCCTGGCTTCTTGAAGACCACATTGAGCTTCCTTGTTTTCTCTGCCATCCTCTCCCCACGGGGGTGGGGGGGTGGCTCAGGACTCCTTGCACGGAGTATCTGCTCCAGAAGGCTCACAGCAGGCCACCACGGGGACCGCTGCAGCACACACACACACCATCAGACCAGCGGGCCTGATTGCCATGCCGCTCCGCTTCCTGGAAGCATCGATGGGGTGTGATGCTGATGCCTACATGCAGTGTGTGGAGCAGCCTTGCCTGGGGATCTTCTTCCTTACTGTTAGCGCCACTCTCCTTCCCAGAGAAGCCACCAAGTCCTCCATCCTTGCAGCAGTACACATGGGGCGTATTTTTAGACACTGTTTCATCCCAGGGAACAGCTTTTTCTTAAGTTGAATGGGGCTGGCTGTTACTCTCTTTTGCGCCTAAAGGTAATAAATAATTCGAGACAGAAATAGTCTCCCAGCCCTTCTGTTAAGACTTTCATTGTAAGCATCCCCGAGACGGTGTTAGGTAATCCCCCGCAGTTATTTTTTTAATTGGTTATTGGTTAATAAGGGGTCACACCTGTTCTGTTACTATGTTGCACTACGGGGGGGGGGGACACACTGGGTGTAGAACAAAGGCGCGTTCACAGCTTTATTGGAAGCGAATCTACATCATCAACAGTCTCCTTAGTGATACAGAGTGTGGTTAGGCTTGTGACAGGGTTAGGTACTGCAAGCCTATTTTCAGCTGAGGATTTTGTTAAGGAGAAAGGCATGCGATACAGCCCCTGCCACACATCTCTGCCTGGCGTGGGCTCCCTTTGGCCAGATTAGAATACTCACAGCAGCCTTGGCTGCCTAAGCAGCCAGCACATCCCTACAATCACAGGCGGATGCTGAGGTGCTGTGCAATATACTGAGTGCTGCATGGAAAGTGAAATCAGCTTGACTGTGTGGGGATTTGTCATGGTCAGGTGCTTTATTTTCTTTTGAGGCACAGTGCTTATGGAATGGGCTATCACCGTCAAAAAAATTGAAGGGGCATAAGTTGGAGGCTATCTTATAGTGCTTCATACCATGTATATCACTCACATGTGTAAGCAGTCAGGAGCTGCCTCCATAGCTGCGAGCCCAGACTTTCAATTTAAATCACCCAGAAAGATGAACACAGAAATCCTGCTAGGTCTTCCCTGGTTCCTGGTCTTAATTTTGGATGTCTAGGAAAAAATCCATAGATATGTGGGCAATTTAGGAAGTGCCATTACATATTTAGAGGAGGCGGCCACAGAGGTCCACGTTCCCCACACATAGACAAGAGCTTACAGAGATGTCAGGGCTCGGCTTCAACTCACAAGGACCAAAGCACTTAGCCCTTCTGAGTTAGACCTAGGAATCTGGCCATCTGATGTTAGCAGTGTGTTATTTTACCCCAAAGTCCGCTGACCCTGGTCTGATCCTTCTCTTTTTCCCTCCCCCTGACCTCTTGCTTTCTGGGAAGAGAGAACCACAGTGAGATTGAGCGGCGCAGGCGGAACAAGATGACTCAGTATATCACGGAGCTCTCCGACATGGTTCCCACCTGCAGTGCCCTGGCTCGGAAGCCGGACAAGCTCACCATACTGCGCATGGCGGTTTCACACATGAAGTCCATGAGGGGCACCGGGAACAAATCCACTGACGGCGCGTACAAGCCTTCCTTCCTCACTGAACAGGTGCCCCAGCGTTACCCTTCTGGTGTTGTGGTCAAAGTGGGGGAGAATCTTAGGGTCACAAGCCTGAGATAAATTCCATGGGAATGTGGAGTTCAGGATTGGGGGAGGGGTGAAAGCCAGAATGTGTGCTTCCATTATTCAGCAAGAAGTGCTCTTCAAGAGTGCCCAGTCTTTCTGTTTTCTTGCTCTTTTATCTCCCATATGCCTCGGTGAGGGGTGGTGACAAAACAGTGTGGATGAGGATGCTGACACAGGAGAGTGGCACTGACGTCATAATTCCTGTGAGGGTAACGAGAGCACAGTCGTGCCATGAAAGCCACCGAGCAGTCGTGATGGTGGCTACAGGGCCATCACAGCCAGTACTAGCAGGCATTCATGGTCCCAGTCCGAGTCCCATCTTTCTGTGCTGCCCATTTAAGTTTAGCCAGCAAGCCATGGTTCTTCATCACCGTGTGAGAGGTGAAGAAGTCAAAGCTGGGATTTCCCCCGATCAGTTGCTTAGAGAAGGACCTGAAGACCTGCTGCTCTACTGGGGTCCCCTTACACCATGTTTTTTCTACCGTGCTAACTGGGGGGAAGAAATGTGTGAAATAGCAAGACAGCATCAGTAAAAGGATTTGCATGAGCCAGGTGGCTTGTGCTCCAAGTCCTTGTCCTTCATGCGGTGGTCACAGTGAGCGTCAGCTAGTGCTGAAAAGCCTTAGCTGACTTGTGTAGCCGTACATGAAGCTTTGACTCTCTAGTTTCCATAACTTTCCTAAGGTAAATGAGCCAATGGGATTCTGTAGAAAGAGGTGAGATTACACGGTTGTCGGGAGTATTCATTTGGAAGTGCCAAGGGTTCCGTGGGTGGCATCTTGGGTAATGGACTGTTTAAAATAAGGCAGAAAGCGAGGCTCAAATGAAACGGAGTGGGAGTGACTGGGCTGCACCAGGGACTGTGCTCAGGACAGAGGCTGTGAAGGAGCCACAGAATGGGCACAAAGAAGTCAGCAGGGGACTTTTAAGGGGTGCACAGTGTGTACAGAGGGAGGAGTAGAGAAAGCATGAGGGACCATTAGCTGTGTGGCACAGAGCATCTGTCCACACTGTGGCCACAGGTTTAGAGGAACGAGGACGATAAACCGATGCCATTTGTCCTGTTCGGTGCAGGTGTTTTGGTGGCAGATACTTCACCTACTCTGACCCCTTTGAAATCCTCCCAGGGTTCCCTTGATCCCTCGGCGTTGAGGATTTCAAGGAAGAAGGTAGTGGTCATATTTGGTCTTAGAAGTGTGGAGCATGGTGGCCCAGGTACAGGCTTCCATCCTCATTCCCGTCCCTAAACCGTGCCCCCAGCTCTGTGGACGTAATGGGGAAGGAAGGCATTCCCGTGTAGACTGCTTAGCATGGGGATGTTGCTATAACAAATGATGAACGGAGAGACATGACTTGCTGGAAATTAAGTACCACTAGCACTAGGGTCAGTACAGAGAGTTTCTCCAAATTCCTTTAATCCTTACAAAAAGGACTCTATGCAGCTACAGGGGACGGCGGAGAGAGGGCAACCACGCATCCGTGTACCCTTCTCCGTGCCATTCTCGGTCACTCGTCCATTTACAGAGCCCTGTAAACACTTACTGTGTAAGCCCTGCACACCAGAAGCTCATTAAACCTCCAAAAATTTCACTGAAAGTAAACTTGATGAACTCTCAGAAGCCCGAGCCAATAAGTATCACGCCAGAGTTGTAAAGCTAAGTGGACGGGCATGGATGGAATCCCTCCTACTCCCAAGCCCATACGGTCTTACTGGGGGAAGGAGGAAAGGCCACGTACGAGTCATGAGATGCTGATCCTCAGGGGAGAGGACGGGAAGAGATGGGTGGGGGTGGCTCCATCCCATCAGACCTTTGCTGTCCTTGCAAACTGGGTTAAAACATGCATGCGTAAACAAAGCCACGCAGCCTCATCCGGTGACATAGAATTCTCTCCTTCCCCAGAAATCTTATTCCATTTTTTATTTTTAAAGGATCTTCCTGTTGGGAAGATCTTCCTGACATGGTGAATGAGAATAATGCTGATGTTCTTAGAACTGCGGAAGCATCTAAGAGACACAGGAAGCAGATGTGTACGTGGGAAATTGACAGAGCGAGCGTTGGGTTGAAAAATGCTTGCACTGTCAGCGTCCATCTTGGTATCCCAGGCTTGAGATCATTTGAGTAAATCCCGAGCCAGTGACTGCACACAAGCCACAAAGTTCCTAGACTGTGCCTCCAAAAGTTAAGGTCTTCTAGGGACTTGGGTTCTCGGACCATCTTGGCCACTAAGAGGTCACTCTGATTGACCAGATGTTCCAGATCCTATCCATTGCTTTCTCTCAGTTGCCCTGATATCAGGTGGTAAACCATCCCTCATGAGGTTGTATTTAAACATTTGAGTCTGGGGTGGGGAATGCTGGCTTACTGCTGATCCCAAAGGATGATTTTGTTCATTGGGGCCTGGATGGTGTGTGAGAAAGTTGGAGTGGTAGGAATAGACTCTAGTGGAGGGTTAGCTCCACACTTCATACCCAGGAACCCAGGTTCTTTATTTAGCTTGATGTGACAGGCTATGGATAGTTACCTCCGAGCTGCCTTTAGGCATGGTTGTCTGTTTAGCAAAGTTGATTTTACCTCATTTGTGGCCCCCTGGGGTGACAGCAAGACTTTGGGAACAAGAGTGCAGTGTCCCCACACAGTGGGAAGACTTGTGGTCTGTTTCTTTCTCTCATCTCCCCATCTCATTCTCCTTCCTTCCTGCCATCTTCTGTGCCATACACTGGGTGCTGGGCCCTTCGGCAGTGTCATGTCTGGCTGCAGTTTCAGTACATGAGGAAAGTACCTCAGAGAATGGGCAGCTCAGCCCCCTCCTGATCATCATCTCTCCATGCTAGAGATCTTTCCCCAGTCACTCTAAGAGAAGACAGTGTATTTTAGGGACAGTGCAAGTTTTGGGTCTTTAGAAAAATAAGCTAGCCAGGTGAAGTGACGTTCATTGACACAACCACGCACACGCCAGAATGAATAGGTACACAAAGGAAGCTGAGGTTGCTAGTTAAGAGAAGATAAATGACCCGGATCTGTCAGTATACTTGCTGACCATAACCTTTGCTCCCCAGGAACTGAAGCATCTCATTCTGGAAGCCGCTGATGGATTTCTGTTTGTGGTGGCAGCTGAGACAGGAAGAGTAATCTACGTGTCTGATTCCGTCACTCCTGTTCTGAACCAGCCACAGTCAGAGTGGTTTGGGAGCACCCTCTATGAACAGGTACACCCTGATGACGTGGAGAAGCTGAGAGAGCAGCTGTGCACTTCAGAAAACTCCATGACAGGTATGGGTAACTATTGCATGTGGGTGACCATTTGACCTTGAAAATTGTTTATCCCATAAACACTTTAGAAAGCTGGAAGTCACAAAATATCCTAAAGGTGAGGTGATACATTTTATTAAGTTTGTGTAAGGGCTTCCTTCAAATTTTTAGGAGTCACTTTTTTTGGTTTTTGAAATTTTTCCTGTAATTAGTGCATGCAGCCAATAGGAGGTGTTCTTGCTACATTGGTGAGACCCCATAGGATCTCTATGTATCAGTATGATACCCATCACAACCTAGGCCTTTAGCCACCTGAAATACAGTTCCTTATTGAAACATCTAAGTCAGTCTGCCATAACATAACAGACACGTTCTTCAAAATCACCTTTGTATACAAAAACACATGTAGAATTCACTGGGGGAAGTGGATTGAAAGTAAAACACTCCATAGCAGATAAAAGTGGGAACCTACTGAACCAGCATGGCTTTAGGTGACAAATGGAAGGTCACAAATATTAAACATGATTCTTGGCCTGGAAAATGATTTTTGGTTGGGGAAAGTCTCAGGAAGTTTTGTCACTTGTGTGTTCTCGTGGAATGCATCAGTGACAGTCATGTGACATCAGATGGAGCGTTTTACCACCAAATACAGAGAACTCAGGGTCAGCTGACGTTACTGTAGATGTCTGGAGTGTGTGACTTGCTTCAGCCAGGTGCAGTTTTCTGTATTCATCTACTATTTCTCATGGGTAAACACAAAACTCACATTTTCTTTTCTCGGATTGTTGCCAAACGTATCAAATTGGAGCAAATATATATTTGATAACAAAATTATAGGTTCTATCAAAATATTGGTCTTCTCTATAGCATGCATCTGTGCTGTATTCCTCCCTGACTGCACTGTACGCTGCTGGGGTTCTCACGTTCATGTCTAGTGCAATGCTAAATTTGATGTTTTGCATGTTGCAGCCTAGTGAGTTAAGTGAGTCGCTGTTTGTTCACTGTAGTCAGCTTAGGTACCTGTGACATTTGTCAGACTGGGTAACTCAAACTGCAGGAACTGAATTTCTCTCACAGTGTGGAGACTGGAATTTCAACCTCCTAGTCCACTTCATCTACAACAAAGCACTGTGAGCCGCTAGCTTTAAATCCATATATGGAGCAGGAGAGATGGCTCAGAGGCAAAGATCTCTTGCTGCTGCTCCCAAAGACCTGAGGTTCAGTTCCTAGTACTCACACTGGGTAGCTTACAACTGCCTGTAACCCCAACCCCAGGGATCCACGACTCTTTTCTGGCCTTTGCAGACAACTGATCTCACATTGACATATCCACACACATAAAAAGGAAAGATCTGTCTGTCTCTCTCTCTGTCTGTCTGTCTGTCTGTCTCTGTGTGTGTGTGTGTGCATACTCACACACTGAATCTCTATCAGTACCATAGTCTCACAGTTTTAGAGATTAGGAAGTCTAAAACCAAGCTGTAAGTGTGCCTAGTGATGGGCCACTTTCTGGGACCTTCTAGCTGTGTCCTCAACAGGATAGGAAGGATGGCACAGTCACAAGGTTCTGTCCTCATGACCTTGTGGATTAGGATAGCAACCAGGGAAGTTGCAGTCAAGCATGTCATTCATTTTATCCAGGACCATGATATCAGCAGGACTGTGTCTCTTGAGAGCTCTCATTAGTTTCCAGATGCTTCCCTTTGAATCTTCCATGACCTTTCTCTCCTGTTTTTGAAGGACACCAGTCATATCAGCTGTCTTTACTTTAATTGCCTCTTTACAGGCCCTACTCCAAAAACAGTCATATTGTGAGGTTCTGGGAGTTAAGTCCTCAACCTACAAATTTGAGGGAGGCTCACAATTCCACCCATAATCCTTAGAGTCAAATCCAGTCTGGTGGTGTCCAAGCTGGCAGGAGTTGAGCTGTTTGAGGGAGGGTGATCATTTTCTCAGTGCTGGTGATTAGTGGGGGGGTGATTTCACGTGGGGACAGTTTATGTCTTAACCATCTCTGCACCCCTATACAAGAACCAGGCAAGCTCGGCCTTAGGAAGATACTGCTGCTCCCTTGCTGGGCTGGTCTTACTACACAGAACATAAAGCTCAACACACTTGGGAACTGTGAGGTCAGCCAGGAAATGTTGGTTTTAAATTTGAAATCACCTCCTCTGGAAAGAGCTGGTCCCCCTCGCCACACACACACACACACAAACACACACACACACACACACACCCCAGACTTTCTGTATTTGGCCACCAGATGTGGCTTCTTCAAACTCTTCAGGAGACCTAGCTGGGGCAGATGACAGAGGAAGTGGTGGCCAAGCGCAGGGCAGGTTCCGTTCAAGGGTGTTGCTAACTGGCTCTTTGTTGAGCCAAATCTTTCCATAGCTGGCCAGGTGTGACCAGGGCAGTGAGAAGATCCTGGGAAGCGCAGCAGTAGTGTGGGCCACCGCAGCGATCTGATCTTTCCCTGAATGAGTGCCGGACTCTAATACTACCGAGAGACAACAATGGCGCCCTCAGATAGCAACGGCAATGTCAGACATAGACATAGCCATGGAGAGGGAGTTGGGAAGACTTATTTTCACTCTCTAGTCGGTCTTTTCTTAGTGATCCTGGAAGTTCGTTCTTCTTCTCCCCCATCACACGAGATTCCTAAGGCTCATTCCCGCTGTGATTTTGTTCTCTCATCTAAGGTTTCCAAGTAGGACCTAAGTCCACTGGTTAGAAAATTGGAGGAGAGGGACTAAAGCAGACCAGGGCTGTGCTGAAGGACTGTCACCATGGCTCCAAGGCAGTACTGGCGCGTCCAGCTGCCTGTATCCAGGCGCTAACTGCAGTGTTGGCCATTCTGAGCGTCATTGTTCATCGACTGGCAGTATCCACTGAATGGCGATGCGTTTTTAAATAGACTTCATAAAACCAGGCTCTGCTCTGACTGCCTGACATAAACATGAGCCCGGGCTTATGGGAAGCTAACCCTGAACTCCCCCGCTTAGGAGCCATGGGGTTCAGTGCTAACTCATCCCGTATCCACAGTAGCTTTTATGCAGCATGACTATCTGATATGAATTGATCGAGTCTTTTTCCAGCCCTGGCTTTTCTTTGTTTCACGTGGGGCTTTTTCAAGTGACTTCACACATTTACACGCAGCTCTGAGTTTGGGGCCTCTGGCTGTGCAGTATATATCCGGCAGGATGATTTCTGTCAAAAGTCTCTGTGAGCGTTCTAAGCTTGTCCTTCTTAGCTCTGGTTCTACCCCTTTTGCTTTGTTGTGCTCTGACTTATTTGTGAGGGCTAAGGAGCCTCAGAGCCAGGTTGAGGCTACCTTCTCTGTCCATGGCACTTGGACTCCTGAGTTGATGTAACTTCTGAGGAAGGAAGGATGCTGAGCAGTGAGTGGTGTGTAAGGTGATTCTGATGGCGGCGGGAGTGTTGAGAGCAAGTAGTGCCTTGTGGACAAGGGGCCTGCAGAAATAGCCACTGGAGCTCTCTGAGTGGTCTGAGTAGTCCCTCTCAGTGGGGATGGGGGTGGGGAGGGTGTGGAAACACCCAGGGCATTTCAGGTGACAACAGGCATCTAGCTGTAACTGGATATGCCCAAGCTCTAGGTTCAGAAAGCAAGCAGGGGGCAGCAGAGACACTACCCTGGAGACATGGAGGGAGCCAATTCTGTCTTCTGGTGGTTGAACTCTGGAAAACCCTTAATCCTGGTGAGCAGAAATGGGAGGCGCTTTACCACTGACCCCAGCACCTCACTGGGAGGTTTTGGTTCTCCAGCCAGAAAGAGGATGTGGGAGAGGTTAATCTGTGGGCATTTCAAGAGGAAATCCATTTGGCCCATGTCCCCCGCATTGCCTTGTACTAAGGGAGCATTGCCTTGTACTAAGGGATTTGCAGGGTACTCCTGCATTCGAGGTAATTAGGTCAGCATTTTGAGTCAGTATAGGGAATAAGTTTGAAAAAAACTGATCAGTGGTAGAAGTGGATGAAACAGATAAACTAACCTTCTTTCTTTTCCTTCCTTTCCTTCCTTCCTTTTTTCCTTCCTCCTTCCCTTTTTCCATGACCATTCGTCCATTAAATCAGTCACCTGTCTTGTACAGTTGTGGACAGGTCACGTGGGACGCATCCTCTCCAGCTCCTCACCTATAAGACACTTCTGTCTGTGGATCAGCCCCCATTTCCCAACGGTTGCAGCCTGGATTCTTTGTGATAATTTGGGGAGAACCCAAGCTGGGGTGGTCCCCAAGGTTTTAGCTGGAAAGCCCCAGTATGTGAGTCACTCATCCCAATCAGCTGTGATTAAGCTTTTCCTATCTCCCTTCGAGCTTTGCTGAAGTCCAGGGATGCTTTGACTCTTGGATCACAGTATTTGGCCAGGCTCCGGTCTGGGCACAGATAGCTTCTCCAAGAGCCCGCCACCAGGGAGCCATATCCAGCCAGCTGTGCTTATATAGCCTCTCATCGGGCATTTTCCATGAGAGCTTCAAGATGCCACCTATACTCAAGAGTCTCTTCGCCTGTCTGGGAGAGAAGACACTTGTGGGACTCTGGGGATGCTTGGTGACTTTCATTTTCTCATCCAACCCTAACAGTGAAAATATGAATACCTATAATTAATCCACTTACATTTCTATGGCATTTTTTATCCCTGTAGAGACTAACCACACACACTACCAGCTTCTGTTCCTTGCAGGGAACTGGCAGATACCCTCGCCCAGGGTGGTTTGGCGAGGGGGCCTGGCCCAGGTGATGACTTGAGGCACAAAAGCAGCGATGGCCTCCTCCGCATCACTTCAGTCCTGAGCATAGAGATTGCTGCCAGTATCTCTGCAGCACCAGCAATCGGAGCAGTCCAGGGCCGGGCATGCGTATTGTTGAAGGCTCAGGGGCACACGAGAGGTGGGTAGTGTCAGAGTCGTGGGATTAGAGCAGACAGTCTGGGTGTCTCACCTCCTTGCCTTCAAAGGTCCTCATCTCCAGCAGTGCTTCCTGGTCAGCTATGTGAACAT